TTATTGATCCAGGTTTTGATTAGTTTAAACTGTCCAGCCACGTGTAAAATTACGGTCGTAATCGAGCAGTCTATACCAGTGAGTCCTGAAACTCCCACGACGCATACAAAAATTTGACAAAAGAAGACGATTTCGAATTTGGGTGACGTTGAGACGTCTGTTCCGTACCTAATAGTGATGTTAGAATGCCATAGCTGTATATTTTCTTGTTCTTTTCATGATCAATGGCAGGAGAAATTGTAAGTAGATAAGGACAATTTTTACCAGGCGTTAAAAGGTAAATGTCGACTGTCATTACTTAAATAATTGATAATTGCAGACATTGTGAAAAAGATCACGTTGCACGAGAGGCATGCAGAGAAAATTATTGTAACAATTCGAGCCCAATAAGCAAGTTGTTCGTAAGATTTCTTTTCGTTAGGATCATCGGAAGAATCCCATAGACTTCGCATTTCATTATAAAGCTTATGTGCTTTATCTCTTCGTGCTGCTATGTATACTAGTTTGTACAATACTTGTCCGACTGATGTTGAAGCGGTCCCTATTTCTGATTTGAATGAGAAATATCGATTGGCAACGCTGTCATAATGTAAAATATGAAATCTGAGATAATTTCATTCAAATCTTACCTGCTATGGTTTGTATGTCGCCCCAATTTACTGCTATCGCCAAAATTTGGGGCACAAACAGAAAACCGTATGCAATTACTGTCACCATCAAGCGGAAATATGCGAATATTTTGCTAAACGTCGAACTTTTCTCGATAGGCCATATTCCAACCATACTACAGAATATCTTATTCGGTAGTATGTAATAATCGATCGATGTATTAGATTGTTCTTCCATGTTCTTTCTTCATGCGAAATTCGATGCGTGTTTGCGAATGGTCTGCTTGCCTGTTTCAACCAAGTTTTCCAACAGAGAATTCTTTATAACGATATTACAGACTAAACGCTAAAACATATGGTTTCATGATTTGCGTTTTCTTTTCGCTCGAAACATGTTCAATATTAATGTTATTCTGCATACGTCCCTCATTATTTCCCCTATTTCTGATTTATAGTTTGATGAATAGTCTATGTAGGTAGAGGTAGAGAAGACAGCATCTAAATTGATAGTATGATTTTTTCCATGCAACATACTTGAAATTTCTTCCTGTTCAGTATGTATCAAATCGCTTACCGAGACTCATGGAAAAATTTGTCGTTGACATAAGATTTCTTTCTGATATTATTTTCAGAGACAGATTGCAGTGAATATTAGCAATAATAATTTACTTGATTTAATTGAGTCTATTTTGATTTTGTCAAATAATGAAGTAGAAATTAATGTAAGTAACTAATGAAGTAGAAATTAAAAGTAACAAAAATATTTGTAACACTCAAGTATGTTCATAATTGTAGTGAAGGTGTGCTTGAAATCATCAGGAAAGTTTGCAAGAAAATATGGAATTAAAATTATGGGAAGAAGATAAAAATGTGGTTCTAAAATTGCAAATGATAAACATACTTCTCTGCCAGATGACAAGACTTTTCAAATTGGATAGTATGGGCAATATCTACATGCGGTTATACAATACCAGGTACAATATAGTATGAAAATTTATACTTTAAATTATACCTTTAATTACTTTTTGAGTTATTTTATAGTGGCATTACGCTACAGATATATACCTTTAACTATTTTTGTTTAATAATATCATACATTGTAATTATAATTTCGTTGAAATTTAATTTAGTTGTAATATCATACATTGTAATTATAATTTCGTTGAAATTTAGTCTTGTATTTTTCGCAACAAGGTGAAATATGAAGCCGCTGTGTTGAACACCTGAAATCATTTAAAAAATCATTTGCAATACTTCAATCTCTGTTTTAGTGTTGCAAGAATTGATTTTTTATACTCAAGTTTTATATTCTGACCTGTTGTAAATTTAATTTCCAAAATTAAAACAATGACTACTCACGCTTGTTAACGTGTGAATAGATAATACTTTGAATGTTAATGCCGTGATACTGCAATATTGTTGCGCTCTAACAATCATGAGGCATAGATGTCTCCGATAAATTGGTGGTAAATTGTACCACGGTATATTGAAATAAATTACGTGCCCTACTTCTTCACTTTCATGGACAAGAATTTCACCGGGCCAACACCATAAAAGGAGTTCTACCGCCATGGAAATAAAATGGGTTGTAAATTTCATTATATCGATAACTGCTCCCCCGTTATCGAGCATTGCGTATCCACTTAAACAAATTTCTATTCCACTCGTAAGAAGTTGTATAAAAAGGATGGGAGTTAATAAATTATTTATATCGTTCACCACACTGTATAAAAGTAGTAGTATAAATGATAAAAATTTATATGGCAAAAAAGCTGTTACACGTTGCGCAAAGAACGGGATTGAAAGTAGCAAAATGTTTACTGTATGATTCGTTGGTGATGGCGAATACATTTAAAG